TGACCACTTTTATGAACTCACTTCTTTATCTTTCTTTTCTAGGTATTCACTCTCAAAGATTTTGCTTGAAGTTTTTAGTTCATGTTGGGGATCAGGATCTTCAGCTCTCTGAGAGCTTCATAGTCCTGCTTGAGTCAAATTGGACAATGACTCAGGATTTCATTGAGGCAATACAGTAAATTCACTGATTATTCTATATTAATTTTGGAGATGTTAGTATGTGAAGTTAATGCACCCGCCCTAGGGGCCTTACACATAGTTAAATTATAGCTCACTCTCAAGTTCCTCTGACTCCAACTGCATAAGGGCCTGGAGATGAACAACTCTCCTTGGGTGAGGTCACCATTTTTATTTCCTGTTGGGCATCATTAGGATACATCTCACTCAGAGATGTGCTCCCCTCTACCCAGGACAAAACTATATTAATGCAAGCTTTTAGTTTGGTAAAAAAAAATAATAATAAGTAAAAGGCACAGGCACATGCAAAATGGAGAAGAGGTTATGGATGACAGACAGATGAAAGGCCAAAAGAATCCTGGAACTTTCTCTACCCTGGTCCTGGGATGGTCTTCTTTGGGCCTTTTCTCTTAAGATAATAAACACTGCATACTTTGAATTATTTGTAGTGAAAAGGAAGTGCCACTAGGAAGTGAGAGAAAAGCTGACCCCTGTATGGTCTCTAAAATAGCAGAGTTTCTCAAAGTAAGGCCACAGACCATTCCATCCAACTCATTAAGACTACTAGCCCCAAACAGACTCCTTGGCCCTACTTGAAGTTTCTGAATCAGACTTCCTGGGGCTAGGATGAAGGAACTCTCCATTTTGACAAGTGTTACACATGACTTTAGTTTTAGAGCACACTGAGTATTGAAACAACAACAACTGCTAAACAGTTTGCAATGGAGGTCAGCAAGAAAAGAATCCCCATTCAATGTGTACAGCGAGATGAGAAAAACAGACATTTAAAACAAGTAAGCTCTGTGGTCGCATCACAACGCTGTGATTATTAATGTTTAAGACTCTTTTTTTTAGCAGGGGTGGAGAGCAATAACCATCTAATCTAAACCCAGAATGATGAAAGCAATATCAATCAAACTCATTCCAGCAGGTTCCATTTGGTCTAATTTCTCTGCAGATATTAATCATTGCACAGTCCTGTGCAAATGACCTCTAACTCCATCATGACTCAGAACACAAAATGCTCATTCTGATTCTTCCTCTAGTGTGTTATTTTGACAATATAAAAGAAAATAAATAAATGGAAACAGTGGGCCATCGAGATTGCAAGATTCAACAATATCAAGACATTAAAGAGAGAAATGGTCCATGCTAAACCTATAACCCAGCATGCAAATTGGAAAAAAAATCATTTATCTGCCACAGAGTGCTGGAGGGAAGGTGGGGAGAGGAAGTAACTGCCTTCATTTTTCCTTTGAAAATTGCTATGTTAGGTGGAGGTAACTAAGAATCCCACCTGAAAGTTTACAGAAAGTCTTATTAATTCTAGTAAAGGTCACCTAGAAGACCAAGGTTACTTAGAGTTCACGGCATGATCTCTTCCAGGGCATGGCAGAAATACCAGCACTCAAATAGGAACCACAGAGTTGGAAAGTTGAAATTGTAGCAAAGGAAAATGTATGAGAATCAAAGTTTGGGTCCCATTATGGGAGCTGGCATCAAGCAATTTTGCAAAATGCCAGATATGCCTTTGATTTTCTCACTGGAGCATGGTTTGCTTGGCACAGACAAAGGATAATCAGAGAGGAATTTAAAACCCAGAGAAGCAAAAGTAATCCAGAAGCTCAATCAGTGGTAACTAAGAGGACCCAGAATGAACAACACACATCTGTGCCTATGGACAAAGCTGCCTTAGAATCACATCAGGCCAATCGAAAAGTGAAAAACACCATGGTGACTCCCCTTTATTCAATATATCCCCCCAAATGAATCATTTGGGGGTAAACATAGCTGTGGAGGAATAAAGAGTGAAGGGAACACTTAGGGTTTGTACATTGTTCCCCTTTTATTTTAATTCACCATGCATGTGTTTCCAGTAAGGTAACTATGCCTACAATTACAAAGGACAACATCACTGCACATTCTGGAAGCCACTTCACTTTGTTGTTTTATGGCCCATCTCAGCGCAATTTCTTCCTAGCAGGGGGAGAGCACACAGCCTTCATGAGCTAACAGTTTCATTTTCCTGTCTTCTCCCCTTTTTTGATGAATGCAGATCACTCCCTTTTTGATGGTGGGTAAGAATACTTTATGAATATGTCTCTGACTTCAGGAGAGCCACATACTTGTAGGCAGTGGCCTCCTCAACTTCCCTGGATTTTAGAACTGCAGGATTTCCCAGGAAACAACTCAAGTTGGGGCTCCTGATTCAATTGACCCACTGGATGCTATTAGTTTCTTCATATCAGCAAGTTATCGCCCTTGTCATAACCAAGGGCAATATATAAGAAGCTTCTTGAATATTGATTATGACAGGGCCAGAATTGAGCTAAAAGTTCTTAAAACAATTTTAAGTTCAGGAAACAGACCTGAATCACAGCGACTACCAGGGCCATTAGAGAATTTAATCTTATAACTCACCCAGAACTCATGTCCAATGTTGCAGGCTGCATAGATATCACCTGATAACTCCACTCAAACCAGCATTTACTACGTACCTCCTTGGAGGTTTTCCCTGACCACGTCTACATCCATCTCTATACCAAGAGTCAAGCAAATGAACACATTGTTGTCTCAGTTATTTGGACTATATGGGGTGGGCATCAGTCTAGAGCTGACCCAGATGAAATGTTGTTTTCTAAAATAAATTTCCTACCATTAGTTCTGTTCACTGGGGTATAAAGAGTACTTAAGCAGAAAAAAACATCATGACAGGTCAAGGGATAGAAATAATGCCATGAACATTTTCTTTTGAAGTATGTAGTCAAAGTAGTGGGTTGGCTATCATTATACTAGTTCTCCAATCCTTACTCATGTGTCTCTATCTGGATGCCATTACAGTCAGCTCTGAAATTTAAGAAAATTGGGACTTTGTCATTTTATTTAAGCCCCGTTTCTTTGATAGCACTTCCAGTAGGATCACAAGAGTCATTTGACCTAAGTAAGTTTGAGGTTATCTTCATTCAATTCAACTTGTTCTTGATCTATTAAGTTCTGTGATTCTTTGAAGGATCTTCTATTATTAGTAGGATGGTGTTTTGATGTGGTAAGAAATATTGAAAAGAATGAAGATATATTGGTAGGCTTTACAAAGCTATGTTGCAGTTAAGGTAGAATGTCTGCTACTATATAAATACGTAAAAGAAAAGCAATTAACTTCATAAATTATAATTCTCTTGATAACTCAACTCCCCGATAAACTTTCTTTTTCACTTAAGTAAAACTTTAAACTCTATTCAAATCATCACAACAAGGAAACATTGGCTGAGTCTGTCACACTGGTATAAAGGCAAGAATTACAAAAATTCAGAAAGATATCCATATACTAATGGGCACTAATAACAGGAATCAAGACAGAACCTCTTACATAATACAAAGATGCATCAGTGAAGTATTTCAAAAAGAAGCAATTGGTCATTATGTTCCCTCCTACAGACACCATCCAGTTGCCTTTATTACCTGTGATGATACATACAGATACACACAAACACACAATAAAAAATTAGGAGTACTTGGCAGAAAAATAATGATTAACAAATTATTTTTCAGTTCCCACTGAAATGCATGAGGAATGCTAAAAATAAAAACTGGATTCTTAATCTGCATTTATGATTAAGTCTATGAAAGAGCTATTGGTACAGTAATAGAATACAGAGTCACATGGCTGGGTGGCTAGTAACAGTTTCTTTTTGGCTGTGTCTACAAAGGTCAAGGATGTAATCAAGAAAGATAGTTAGAAAGCCAAAACCTCCGTTTTGGAGCTCCAGTTGTCTAGTTGGGTTGTTCAGATATGAGAGAAATGACAGCCAATCCTACTATGGACACAGCCAAGTCCCAAAGGCAAACACAACTGGCTACCAGAAAGTGACAATGTATCGCTGTAGGTGTGAAAAGTCATGAGTAATTAGTAGGAGGTGTTTAGAATAAAATTCCCTCAGAAATAAAAAGCTGGACCCTGATTCAACTGTGAAGTGTGTGGTGTTCTTACTTCCATGACCACGTGGGAACGCAGAGAATTCAATGTGGATTGTGTGGAAAGGCCACACCATAAAACACGGGCAGTAAGAACTTGGAAAGCAGTGAGAGAAGGAATGCTCAGCTCAGAGTGGAGAAGGCTGAGTGTGGGGCCATTTATTAGTGATTTTTGTGGATATGAATGTTTGTTTAAAGTCAAAAAATGTCTGACTAGCTCTTCTCACCCTCTCTGATTGCAGAGAAAGAGCAAAATGGAGCCTGAGGGTGTTAATTTAGAAAAAAAGGAAGACAGTTTCTTGATGATGAGGGTTATTTGACATTAGAAAGTGTTGCCAAGAGAGGCTGGGAAATCTTCCCAGAAGGGTTTTAAGAAAATAGCAGAGGCCCTCTGAGCGAGTGCTGCGGGAGCAGGCAACCCCCTGGCTGCCCAGGCCCTGGGGTCACGTGCACTGTGTGTGTACACACTGCATTGTACTTGTGTCCCACAAATCCTCATGCATGCGGAGTCAATATAAACTGGCATATAATAGATTTGAGTGAAAAGTCATATAAATCTGCCACCCCCCTTGCCCCATAAACAAACAGAAAAGGAAAATTAAGAAAAATCAAACATATGCCACTGGGCCAGATGTCTTTCTACCATATTCTGGTTCACAGGAGGGAGGTAGAAGATGAGAGAAAAACCAGTTTGGGATAAATGACCCTCAAGGCCTCTGGGCTCCTCTCACGGAGCTGGCTATCATTATATCTACTCAGCACATGGGACCAAGTTAACAAACTAACACATAAGAAAAAAAGATTTTCTTATACTTCCCCACCTGGAAAGAAATCTACCCTGTGGATGTGCGTGTTAAGGTGAATTAGGTAAATAGGCAGTAGTATATCGATGGGCACTGTGTTCTAACAAATGTGTAGTTGTTGTTTTTCTTAGCGACTATGAATTTCCTTTAGGAGGTCAATTTCAAAATGCTCAGCGTTTGTTTCTCCTCCCACGCCCGCCCTGCCCTATAGACGGTACTTCCGTAACAGTTCCGACTGCCAAGGGTGTTTCCTCTCGGGGAACCGGTCTGGGATTTTGATCTTGAGGAAATCCTGGATGCATTTCTCCAGCTCCTCCTCAATTGAGAGCTTTTCCTTAACAGCTTTTTTTTTGCTGCTCATGTTCGACTCCCTGGAGCTGGAAGTCAGAGTCCGGAGCAGGTCGCTCTTCCTCCGCATCTCCGACTGCTGGATCAGCTGCACCGGGCCCTTCTTGATGGGACGGTCCAGAGTCTGGATGTTGGTCTGGCGTGTCACCGGCCCGCAGATGACTGTCTCCTGGGGAGAGCTGCCCTCGGACTGGCTGTCGCAGCTGGAGGTGGAGAGGTCGTTGCAAGACGTGCCGCTCTCCCCTTCTTTGTCACCCTTGCCGTTCTTGCAGCAGCAGTCACAGTGCGAGGATGACCACCTAGAAGGCTCACCTGCAAGGAAGCACAGGACCCAAGTGATTAAAGCCCAGAGTAGCAGCGTAGCCCTACACACACACACACACACACACACACAGCCATGTGTTTAGAAGTGTTTAGAAGTGGTGTGGCACCCAGGATGGGCTGCAACAAGAGCACCCAGGAGCCAGGCCCATGGAGGGAAAGGTTGATAATGGCCTGCTGTGTAAGAGGAAATACAGTATCATTAATGCTCACGTCCACAGCATTGGAGTCAGGTAGCCCTGGGTAAGGCTACTCAGCTATAGCATTTACTAACCTGGGTACATTGGCAGATCCCTTAAATTCTCAAAGCTTCAGTTTCCTCATCTGTTAGATGAAGATGATTCTCCTACTATCTGGAGTTGTAGGGAGGATTTAGATAAGTCAAACAAAGTTCTGAATGAAGTATGTGGTATACAGTAAGCACTCAATAAATGCTTGTTGGTTTCACTGTGGCTGATGTTAAACCCTAATCCGAAGCTGTACATGAGAGCAGTCTGAGTGGAATGACAGCTGTCAGTCAGGGAGGACTTCCTTTGTGCCAGCCCCCACATAAGCTCTGTGCACTCATCAACTCATCAGATCCTCATGATAACTCTATAAACGGAGTAGCTCCATACAAGGAAACTAAGACCCTGGGAGTTTAAGCAACTTCCCATAGTTTGCACAATTTGTAGGTGGCAGGGCTAGTATTCAAATACAGATCTCCCAAACACCATATTGCAAGTAACTAGTCTTTTTTCTTTAATTTGCCTGTCTGTAAAAAACCTGCTTCTCCTTCCAAACAATGTTCAAGGTTTAACCTCACATGGAAGTCCTTGTAACCTCTCCCCAGAAGTATTTGTCAATGTTTCCTCTGAATTATGGTTTATATTTTGTGTCTCTATTATTGCCCTTAACATATTCATTAGAATTATTTTTTACTTTCTGCATCTAGGCTCCTATATCATGAGCGCTCTTAGGTGGGTACAGTGAAGTGTCCATTGTTGTAATCCTAAGGAACAGTATAGGAATTCAATAAAAGACTGTACCTACAGAGTAATTTTAAAGTGCCTGGATCTAGCCATACCTGAAGCTAATCCTATCTGGACTTTTCATTTAAGCCAGTGTGAGTCCTTCTCTCCCTATTCCCCTGAGTCTTGACTCTCAGCACTGAGTTTGGAGATGTGGAGGCAGAGCCATTTTCAGATACACAGTTGGTGGTTCCCTGAACTAGAAAATCCAAGATTATGGCTCAAAGCAATTTCCTAAATATATCAGTAACTGCCCCCAGCCTCGCACTCTAAACAGCCAGTCTTCTTGGAGTCACGAACCCGAGACTATTGCTGATCATATAGTATGCACTGGGCACTTCCTATAGTTCATTGCACTTACGCCATAAAAAACAAAGGGCAACAGAGACCCTTTATGATACTAATATTGGGGACAAGGATAATGTGGCAACTTTATGTGTTTTATAGGAGACCTCATTTAATGTGCACTGTATCCTATTCTCATAAATAATGGGTTACTCTGTAATAAGATTCCACTTCATTGCCATTTTCAAATATGGTCAAAGTAGAGGAAACCTAGAATGGAAATGATAAGGAAAGTTCTGTCCTGTCTTCTGGGACAATGCCTGTCCTCTACATACCTAAATAATTTAACTATTTATAGCAACGCCTGTTGATTCCGTTTTCTGGAGGGAGTGAAACAAAGAAGTCCCATAATCACAACTCCAAGAGTCTCTCTAATGTGAACTCGCTCTTTCAAACCACTTTTTAAAATGTGATTGAGTAATCGTTGTACTTACTAGTATATACCCATTAAATGAACTGCAACAATCCAATTAAGCATAAGGAATGGTGGCAGCACAAATGTCCTAGTTGTCCTGGGCCATTACAAATAAATGCCTTCCGTGCAGCAGAGCATCCCACATGTACCCGCCAGTGACGTGGGAAATGGCTGCTGTCTGCCAGCCGGGATTCTGGGATCATCTCTCTTCTTAGAGAGCGAATCTGTCTCTGCCTCTGCCTCTCCAAACCTGGGCATCCCACACTGACATCACTCATGATTTGGGTCAAGAACAAGTAATCACATCAATCCAGAGTAGATCTACTTTGATCCCTTTTGAGAAAAGTTCAGAAATTGAACTTAACCTTAAAAGATAAGAAGAAAGAAAGAAAAGAAAGAAAGAAAGAAAGAAAGAAAGAGAAAGAGAGAAGAGGAAGAGAGGCAAGACATAAAGGAACAGAAATATATGCTGTGATATGCCTGCCTATTTATGTTAGAACAAGAAGACAAACTATTTTGAATGTAAACCTGCTGAACCAATAGAAATGCAAGCGCTGGGTGTTTCTGCCCCAGAGATGCCTTCCCCATGAAACGTCATTCCAGGCAGTGGACTTGGAGGGGAACCTGAAACTCTCCTAACAGCCGCTTGACAACACAAATGCCCTCATGTGAGGGAGCCCTGTGTGTTCCCGTGGAAACTGCACGTGGCCCTCCAGTGTGCCCAAGCAGGAGCCTGGCACCGATGCAGCTACTTCGCCCTGAACAGCTGAGATGATCATGGATTTAAATGTCGGCTGGGATCCTCCAGCTTCCAGGCAAATGGAAGTATTACTTTCCACTTATTCTAGGCACTAACACTATTAAAGGAAATTGAACAACTTCATTTTAGTGAAGCCTGTTAAAGCACCACATGCTTCAATATTTTATGAGAACATTTGAATGTTTTAGCATTTTGGCAAGATAATTCATAGGTTGGCTTCTGGAGTCTATATATTATGTTGAAATCAAGGAAGAAGATGGGATTAATACAGTCTGGCTGGAGGTGCTATGTGTGAGTTACAGTGAAATTTGAAAAAAAAATCAACTGTGAGAAGATAACTACCTATTTCTTTTCCAGAAGCACAGTCTGTCTGACTACCCTCTAACCAAAAACTTAACCACAGGCTGAGGGTTTTAACCGGAATGCAGAAATACCATGCCTGTGGGTGCTGGACACTTCGCCCCTGCAGTCCCACTGACATGTGCTCACCAGTCCTGGAAGGTGTGGAAATTGCAACATACTTTTGCTCCCAATTTGCTGAGGTTTCAACACTGACTATAACTCTCTCCATTTGAGGAGAAAATAGGATACAATTGATTAGCCAGATATAGGGAGGGCACCATTTCATTCCAAGAAAAGTCTGATTTATTAATATCAAAAAAGCAAATAATTCATTGCCTTTTGGGATCTATTAAGTAGTTGCTCATCAAAGGAACTAATAGTTCTACCTTATTGAAAACACACTACTGCTGAATCTGTTGGTATCTGGCACATGATTTCCTTAAATGCTTGATGTATGAATGAATGAATGAATGAATGAGCCAAACACAGATGTTGAATTGCATCAAGTTGACAACATAACAGGGCAGAGTTCAGGCTCCAGAGTTAGGACTCACAATTTGTCATCTTGATAAACTACTCAGTTTCCTCATCTGGAAAATAAGATTAATAGTATCTTCCTCATAAGGAGTTTTAGGAAAATAAAATGAGATAGTTAATGTGAAGGTGTTTCCTGGTTTGTGGTACCCAATAAGCATCCCATTCTTTGGTCCCTATTTGTCCTACCATAAGGCAGACACTGCTCGACATAAAACAAATCAGCTTTTCAATATAATTATTATGTCTCCACAACCAACTCTTGGTTCCGGTTGGAGCATCGTGTTAGGAAGGACACTGATGGGCACTTAGTAATGTCTGACTTCGGTGTGGGAGTGAGAATAACCACAAGCAGGTACAGTGTCTGGCACACAGTGCATGACCAGGGGACAGTTTTGGAAGGAAGGTTCCTCTGCAGGACAGTGTTCACAAGTTCACAAATAGATGAGTCTTCCAGAATAAAGTTTTACTTGAAGACACACCAATTCAATTTGAACCCAGAGCCCGGAGGAATTTGTAGTTTGGATTAAATGGGGAAGGGCAGGAAACCCAATTGCCCCAAGTTCTTAAAGCCCAAATCTTCCAACATTTTACAACTTGGAAAAGCTAAGGACCAATCAAGCAGACTGTATGACTGGATTGGGCCCCTTTCCATGATCTCAACTGTGGGCGTCCTTACTGATAAAGAAGAAATAAAAGAGGAAGGACAACAGACTATTTCTCCCCTATGAAAAATTCAAACCGAGCTGAGCGAAACACGACTTAGCAAACTCACAAAGTGCTTATGCATTTTTAAAAGAGGCAGCTCTGCCATCTCCCCCCACCTCAAACTCCCCACCTGCTAATGGCTGGGAACACAATGTGCATCATTTACAGCGACATCTGGGAAAACTGCTTTCCCTGTCTCCTCTGTCAATGATGTAGGAGCCTGCCCGTCTGGGAGCGAGGTGGCCAGATTTAATTTATTGGGGCTGCTAAAAGACTTTCTTAGTATCCCAGCTGAAAAGTCAATAACGGCCAAATTGATGTTTTTCTAATTCTGCTAACCTTGGGAAAGATATTGCAGAGTGCAGATTGGGAGCAGGCAGGCTGTGCAAGCTTCTGAGAAAAATGAATCTTCAAGTTTGACAATCGTCATTTCTTGCTTGTGGTTGACCTTTTCTCCGCTTGGACACTGGGCCTTGGATGGGCCCAGCTGGGGCTCCTCATTAAGAGGAGGCAAGTTGGGGTAAGTTTGAGACAGTTAAACCATCCATGCACCAGTCAGGGCCTCGGGTGGACACACTGCCTGCTGGTATTGCCATCTCCGAAGGGGCCTGGCTCTGGGATTACAGAACAAGGCAAAATGGAAACTGGGACCAACTACTTCTGGGGTAAATAAGAGTTGGGTTGAAGCCGATGAGCCAAGAGCAGACAAGGAGTCCTCCTCTAGCACACTCCCTCATGGACAGAACCCAACAGGAAGCTACCTGACCAATGAAAGTGTGGTTAGCTGAACCCCACCCCAGCAGCGCAGCAGACATGGGTGAGTTGGTGAGAGGTGACAGCCTACTGACAGCACACTTACCCTGCCTGAGATGCAAAA